TGTATATAATTTATATTTAAAAGAAATATATCTTTTTTCGTAATTTTATTGTAAAGTATCTGTTTTTTAGGAACAAATAAAAAATGTAGTTGTGAACGTAAAAATGATTTTTTGCAGTATTAATTATTTAAAAAAATCTTTTAATCTTCGTAAATGTATTATAACATATTGTGTACTATAACATTACTGTTGTGTATCATATCGAGGAGTGATATAAATTATTTTTTATTTTAATGTTGGACGCAACAACAATGTTATAGTACAATATTGTATAATACATTTACGAAGATTAAATAATTTTTAAAATAATTAATATTGCAAAAGTAATTTTTACGTTCAATTACATTTTTTATTTATTCTTAAAAAACAGATACTTTATAATAAAATTACGAAAAAAATATATTTCTTTCAAATATAAATTCTTCTTTTCTATTTTAATATATATTTGTATTAGCTGTTATATACTATACACGATTGAATGTTTCTATTGCTTGAAAAAGAAATAAACGTAATATATTTTTTTTTATTATTATTTTATTTCTCTTTTTCCTTTATTAGCAACATTGTTTTAGAATGTTAATTTGTATAAATGCAGAGAATTTAAAATTACCTAAGTAATTTAAAAGCGAATATTAGCCTTGCTAAAACAAGTCTCTTAATCGTTGTAATTAGATTAACCACGCTGCCATCTGTACTTAATTACACTGCAATTAAATCAGCTTTTACTACTGTATTCTATCTTTGAGATAACTTCGATTACTTCTGAATTGCGCTGTTATTTTTCAAGGAATTAGTATGAAAATAAAGTTGCATCAATTTAGTATCAATTGCCTGAAAATAAATTTCACAGCTCCGCTTTCTCTGCAGTAAATAGATATATACGAAAAATAGCACATTCAGCATCAATTTAAAAAAAAACTTAGCCCCACATTGCGAGATATCTCGCATTATTTAACAAAAAAAATACAAAAATAATTAATTTTTTGACATATCTAAATTTCATAATCAAATTTACACCAAAAAAATTTTCATATATTTTTTCTTGTTCTTCGATAAATTATTTTTGCAAACAATATAGTTTTATATTTCTTGTTTATCTTGTTATGATTTGGCGTTATAAGAAATTTAAATATACATAAATTTATTTACATAAATATACATAAATTATTATAAGCGAGTTGTAAGCTGTCATAAATATGGCATGTTTGGCATATAAGTTTCTAAAGCATTAAAAAAAATTGTTTATCGCGTGCCATTATTTTGAAAAGTATTTGTATCTTACTACAATTAATATATTGATCTCCGCATAATACTATAATTGTGTAATTTCACTATTTATTTTGGAAATAACTCCAACGTATCGTGTATTACAATCATGAATCTTCTGTCACAAGATGCGACAAAGGATTCTCGTATTTTGTGATTATCCACCGTATTTCATTGTTTCTTATCGTGACATACTAACTATGAAATACGTCACCCAGGAGAGCACTGCTCTTGCTTATTATTCTCTCTCTCTCTCTCTCTCTTCGAAGAGAACTATATAGCTATGCAAGGACGTTAATTATGTTTGTACCAACAAGACATAATTCATTGTACTGAGACTCAATTCATTATTTTGTTAAACATAAGTTTTCATTATATTGCTATATAATTTCTATAATGACTATTACAGCGAATCTCAATAAATAATTCTTAATTCCAAATCAAAAGAAAGATATGTAAGTGATAGTAAATATAACCATTATAAATATAATATGTAGCTATTGGTATTGTAGATTAAGATACATATAAAACTTTTTTTTAAGTAGAAAATAATTCATAACAAAATTGACAAATTTTGTACATTTTTACATTATATAAAAGATCAATAGTCGAATGATTAATCTATCTTCAATTAATCTTCGGCGCAAACAAGTTTTACGTCAAGTATATATCTAACAGTTTAATTATGAATTTCAATCGAGCGTGAGAAGATAATTATCGACGAACAAAGAAATAACGCGTATATGCGAGTTCGACACTCGTGTAATTATAATCCTCTGAAACAATCGATACGGTAATTAGATCGCGAGCAAGCAAATATCAGTCAAGCAGCATTGTATTACATTATAATATATAAACAAAAATTATTATTATTATTTAATAAAGTTAAATTTTGAAAATACGACAGATTAGTATCCTCAGATTTAAATCAATAATTTATGTAAAATGTGTGCGTTTTATTATGTTTAAACTAATTAAAACGTTCTGTATTTTCTTCTTTTTTTGCAGCAACATGTTAGCCTTATTTTCTTTAACGTGTATTTTTTATGAATGGTGTTATTCTCGAAATACGTTTTACAAAGTGTAGCGAAATTTTACTTAATACTGTTATTTCACCAAATTCAACTATAAATGCGAATTTTTATTCCTCTCAAATTGAATAACTTTTATATCAGAGATGAAACGATTTATATTCAAAATTAGTTCTGCCTCTCTCTCTCTCTCTCTGCATTATTTCATTTGCATAATATATATTTCGTGTTATATTTAAAAACCTATTATATTAATTGCATATTACAACACACCGGTGATGCAATTTTAGAAAATTGACGAGAAAAGTATTTTCAAAATGTTTACTTTATCCGCAATTGTATTTACAATTTTAAATCGGTTATTGTTAACAGAACACAATACCGGGATACTGAAAATTTTCAAAGAATTTTAAAAGAGAGATAATAAATTTTATTAAAAAAATAAAAAAAACTATTCCTTATTCTCAGACAAATTTTTACAGCCTCAAAATTTGCGAAATAATGTTTTTTAAAACATTGAGATTAATTTAATTGTATTGTACTAGAAAATGAAACCCTTGAATCATCGAGACAAAAATAATTGGATTAATACGTTACGACAGATGATAACAATTACATGTAATAATAGCTAAAGCTACGGAGAAGCAACCAGACGATTACCAACAACTTTAATTAAACCCGGAAACGGAGAACGAGCTTATTTATACGTGGACGCGATACTTCTTCGCGTTGTTGCACCGGAGGGTTGATTGTCTGCGCGACCGGCGGTGGCAGAATGTTACATCACGCGAGGGACAGAGGAGAAACATATCGGGGTCGGAACTGCTGCTAATCGCCGCCGAAATCTCGAATTAATGGCACGAAAGCCGCGCGCGGAATTCGGAATTGGTGGTGCGCAACGCCTAACCCGGCAAAAACGTTCGTCGTGTCTCGTCTGCCGCTCTCATACACACCGAAACGATAAATGCTACTGCGCTCTGGTGCATGTGCCTCGATACGTTTTATGCAAATATCGCAGCTGCGCCGCTATATGGAGTTATCGGTGAATTCACGCATGTCACTGTCGCAGTGGCGTCGAAAGTGCGAAGCTTGCGAGAGTCATTATTATAAATGCGTAAACACGCCTTTTACAAAACAGATCAAATATTTCAATGCTTCTCAAAATATAAAAACACATTAGCGTTCATTAAAAAGAAACAATCGGTGAAAGTGTCATCGGATTAAAAAATAAAAAATGACCTATGTCGGAGATTCAAATTATATTTTATCATTTAGCAAAACTACTGAATTATGATTTTATTATCTCACAGAAGACTTTATGAGATGTAATTAATATATTGCATTAAAGATATTGTATGTATATTGTATGTGCTTGTATTCAAGAAAAAGAGCTAACAATAAACGCATTATTTTTTAAGGAATTTGAAAATGCATAATTGGCAATTTTATAAATTTATATCATAAATATAAAAATTACATATATAACATTTTTATTCTGATGTAAATTTTCATTTTTTTGATTTGAAGTTATTAAAAGTGTAAAAAAATCTGTCGTGAGATCTCTGAGTTATCTTCTCGAATATGTAATATAAATATAAAAAAAAACTCGGTACTTTAATTAAAGCGGAGCAAACGAATTTTTTTTAAGCGAGCGAGAAGTCAGATTAATAACGGAGGAATTAAGATTCGCACATTATTTCTCTTCTCTCGAAAAGTAAGATATTACAGCTATTAATCCTCGCGAATTTCGGTCACGCGAATTGCATTAGAAGCTCTTGTTTTCCGACTGTTCTTCTTAAGAAAAGTTTTCTGGAGAAAATTTTACGAAATTGTAAATTACAAAGTAAAGTTTCACTCGTCGGCAATCTCTGCGCTTTCTTAAGATTTTTAAAATTTGTCCTTTCTTAAATTACCTCTTGGAATCTCACTACCAACACGAAAAAAAATTATTTTATTAATACTTAAATATATCCAAATAAAGAAATGACTAATTGTAAGCATCTAAAAAGATCAAACAATAAGAAATTTTTATTTTCATTGGAAATCTCTCATATGTCAATTATATTTTATACTACTGGAACAACACAAGCTTTTTTAGAAAGGGATTAAATAAAAGATTGTACTTAAAAATGTTAAATGTTACATGCTAAAATATTCTAATAAAATATCATTATCTCTTATATCAAATACTATTATATTATTTTATTAAATTATTACCTTGCCTTTATTTTCCTAAAATAGAATAATATTATTTGAATAAAGAGCTATGGATTTTAATGAATTTAAAATCCTGTATTTTGTTGAAATCAGATTTTCAAGCGCGACTGACGATAGTAAACATTGAAATAATTAACAATCAAGACTTACTTAGTAAGTAGCTCTCAAATAAAATTGAAATAATTATACACAATTCGAATTATAAACAAATTTAATTGTGCCGTACAATGCGAATAAAAAGTCGTCCTTAAATTAAAAAGAAAATAAGTAAACGATCTATATACTGCAGAAGTGCAAAACAAGTAAAAATAAATAAAAAATGATCTAACGTCAACTTGAATTTATTTGCTCGAGGAAATTTGAAGAAATGATAATAAAATATTGACAACAAGTCGATGTGCGGTGGCTTCTCACAATTTATTAGAGAAGTCGGAAAGTTTCCTATTTTCCACTAGTAGAAACACGGTGGAGGAAGCAGACGGAGCGCCATCCCCGTCTATTGATCCGGCTCCGTTCAACATGGCACCGGGGGTGGCGTTCGTGCTCAGCTTGATCCTCGTCGTCGGCCACCTCCAGGAAGGATCCCTCGCCAAGACCTTCGCATTTCCCGAGTACCCGTACAAGGAGACCACCAAGAATGTAAGTCGGACATACAATTCGTCGGATTTATCCTTGACAAGTGATACGTGCTCGAACCTTGATACCAGGTTATGGTAGGCAACCCTCATTCAAAGGGGTGGCGCTTTTACAACATCCGCGAGAACGGCAGCATTCACGCTAATCCGGCTCTGACTTTTAAACAGCGAACATACGTATATCAAATTTTAAAGTCCTTTTTTTTACATGTTAATTATTAATGCCAGTTAATTATTTATTATAGCCAGATATGGTTGATGAAATTATTACCATTTTTAATTATCAACTGGTGACTTCTTAGTTTTATATATATATATATATTTTTTTTTTAATTATTAATGCTCGCGTAAACATTTTGATAAAAAAAAAAAATGAAATTGATAAGAAAATAAAAAATTGGATATTATAAAAAATATTGTTTAGAAAGAAATACAAATGGTGAAATATAAATTTGGAATCATTGAGAAATGTATCAGGAGTGATTGTCAATGCTTGTGATCAAGAAAATAAAGTCGAATTGAGATAAAACAGTTTAATGAATAAATCGCGATCGATCTGGTATCGACTCAAGAATATTCGGCTAAAGATCAAAGTGCATTAAGTAGTTCAAAAGTAACGTGCGAATATTTGCATTCGGAAGTTCTGACTCAAATTCATATCATTTCACTGTAGCGATGAGAAAGAATTTTCTTTTGTCAAACTTGTTTAACGAAAAGTAGATTACGAAAATTAAATTTAGGTCGTAACAAGACGCGATAGTGAGTTTCTTTGCGATCAGAAAAGTACGAAAGAGGATGTATAACGCGATTACGCGCCGTAGAAAGATACGGCGAAGATGTTACATTTAAAAGTTAAAAATAATCCGTGACATCCGCTTCCGGTAAAAATAAAAACGACGAAAAGTCGTATCGAGGCAAGGATTTTACGGACGATCTTCCATCAACATTTCAGATCCAAAGTCATCATTATCGAAAAAACATATTTTTGCAACATGTATGAATCTTTCCGATATTAGAAGATGAAATAAGAGGAAGTTATACGTACACAACTGAAGTGATTCTCGGTAAATATTCTCCGTTAAAAATCTATCGCTCCAATGCTTTTATTTACGCGGTGAAAGGCAAACTGTAGAGTTATTCGCGAAGAAAATTAAAGCCGTATATATATCGTGCTGGAAGTCACATTGACTTTAATTGAGGTTAATCTTTCAACATGCGCGAATCAATTGTTGCATTCCGTTTTATCCCGCCACAACACGGTAAATATATACAACCGTCGTTTTATTAATACCACGCACAAACTGTAACGGAATAATTTTCTCCAGATTAATATTATAATAAATATTCATATTTCGGAACACAAATGTAACCGCGATACCTATTTGATATACTTTGCGACAGAATAATTAATAATTTATTTGCAGCAAAAATAAAACGGAATATTTGCTGTCATGAAAAAAATATTTGTTGTATACTTATAAAATTAATATTTAAGAAAGGTAGTACCAAATCGATGTGTTGTAATTATATAATGATGATTTATGGATATAATGTGTTGTCATAGGAGCTTCTCTTTAGACAATTCGAGCAGGCTTGCGAGGAAAGCGGAGCCTGTAAAATGCAATCGGAGCATAGAAGCGGTGACGTTGCGAAAACACGTTGCATCCGGGAATGCGTGTCGCCGTCCTGTTACAAGGAGATTTATTTATTCGATCAAGTACGTATATACGCGAAATACCAATTCCCTTAATTGCGTTTGGTTGCTGTATATGTCGCTATGCGCCGTACATATATATATATATATATATATATATATATATATATATAGTATCCAATATACTATTTCTCGTTTACGCAGACGATATGGTAACACGAACGATAAACACATTTCAGTTGGAGGAGGGTGAGATTGACGTGAGATTAAATTCCTTTAAAGGTTGCTTCATGCAGCGAAACGGTCGACCGCGAAAGTAAGAAGAAGAAATACGCGAAAACAGACGCAAGTAGAGAAAAAAAAAATCTTTTAATCTCAAAATGAACGATTAAAAGACCGGAGGGCTGTCGGTATATCCGTTTAACCCCTTCGGAGTAATTATAGTCGCGCAACAAAGAACGCGTCTTCTACGCGGTGATTATACAATATTATAGTTATAAAAGTAACGCTTCTCTCTTGTTTAGAACTTGCTACCACGAAAGGATTAAACCGACGATGTAATGTGACTGCTGCATGATGTGCATACTCGGATGTCTAGGAAAGTACAAAAAAAAATGGAAATGGAATTTAAATGCATATCATGCACAGAAATGGCAAAAAATGCATAACATGCAGTTTTGCACCAGAACGAGGGGAGTGCATCGAGGGATTAAATTCTTAGTCAAATAAAATCTTTTTCTACTTTTTGTACGCACATATATTACTTAGGATATTGTCGTTAAATTGATAATAATACTGCACAATAAACTGTTACTTGCACTAACATGTATATAACGATATATTCCAGTTTTATCGTGTTTATATATATATATATATATATATCACTTCTGTTGAAATAATATATATTTTTCAATCTCTGCGTGATGTTATAAAATTAAATAATGTCATCTCGTACATCACGAAAAAGTAAAGAAGAGTGTAACATATATTTTATCTTTTACATCAACATATAATTATAAATCTTATATATTCTACATGTAATGTTATTTTCTCTTAAACTACAGAACTTTAAATTCTTAATTCGAAAAATATAGAACTGAATTTTATTCTATGTTTGATATTGTTATTTTCTCAATATACAGGATTTAATTATTGAATTTTAAAAAACAAATTGTATCGATTTTTAATAAGAGAATAAAAATCTGTTATAAAAATGAAAAATTTATATTCTCTTTTAAAATATGTGGAAACTCTTTACTCTTTCTCGATACGAACTGTGGTTATACTGTGATACAACGCGATATAATCCATTGGTATTATTTATTGGAACTGTGACAACTAAAATATAAAAATATAAAAAATTAAGAGAAGAAATATATAACAAAGTTACCGGATATTGATAACTCTTATAAAACTGTTATTAAAAAAATGTATAGTTTAGTTTTAGGATTTTTTAAATATCTCTTACCGCATATTGAAGATTCTGATGAGCTTTCAATTCTGTCTCATTTAACATTACTGAATATTCTTTAAGGTAATTCAAAGCTATATCAAATAATGATAAACATATCGATCGAGGATTCCACAATACATCATGGCAAGTTGTTTTTCGATAGTAAAGCCACGTAATGGCGAACTCGACAAAATGATGCGATATATATCGTGTTTTCACGACATTAGTAATTAGACTATAAGTACTCAAATGTGTACAAAGATAAGGTAACAACGATGCATTAGTTACTTTAATATTACAGAAATGTAATAAAGTCATTAAGCTTTGATATACCATATCCCAGAACAACACAGGTTTCTATAAAAAGAAAATATATAATTAATTATGAGATCAACTCTTGTCATTGTTTCCTATCTAACTATTTTAATAATCCTTAGCCCATTTTATATTGTAGACAAATTGTGTTATACAGTGAAAGATATTCTAATACATCTTTTTGTAATAATAAAATTTAAATATACTGACCAGTGCATGAATTCTATGGAAAACTTCGTAGAGATAAATAACCATATTTATATCATTACTATTAGAAATTTTTTGCAAAACGACAGCCGATTCCTTATAACTTTGTTTTAAAAGATCACATATAAATTGCATTTCACTTATGCAATTTGAGTTTTCTACATTTACCAAGAGATCGATTAAACTTTTTATGTGAATCTTGATTGGCACTTTGCACTGAAAAACAAATATATATTTTAAAATATTTAAAAAATTTATTTAAATTTACATATTCAGATAATCATTATGCATACCTTTATCGATGATTGTTCTTGATAATGAATAATGAACGTAAGCAGTTTTATGCTGATCGCGGATAATTCTGATCTTTCACTTGAAAATCCATAAGCGAGCAATTCTTTTAGTAATTCAGGTGTTTGTACGTATAGTTGAAGCACTGCGATAGAAATTTTATATGAATTATTATTTTAAAATACATTTTATAGCAAAAATATATGTTTACATATTTTTACTGAAATAATTATTTATATACTACAAATATTTGTTTTTTTTTTTACCTTTAAATGACATATTTGAAATAGCGGAAACCAACAAAATATGTGCTTGCGTTATAACTAATGTCATAAATTTTGAATCTGTGTTCTTTTTTAATATAATATTGACGATATTATGAGCGCTGCGTATTATAACTTCAATCGGCATTATATGTGGTTTAGTAATATTGGCTAATTCCAAAACTGCCTTTATATGTGCAACTGCAATTGCAAATTGTTAAAATATTCTAATCTCATCAGGAATAATCGTAATGTTAATTCTCCTCAAATAACAAAAAATATATTATTAAGTTCATTAGCTTATGGACTACGTTGTTCATAAAATTTTATATTTATATTAAGAGAGAAGTTCATAAAATTGTTTTGACAAACCAGTCTGATCTGAACAATACGATGAAAGTATATTGGGCAGCATATGCCACACAATTTCCGCGATTTGTTCTATAATAGGATCATTTTTATTCATTTGAATTAGATGATAGATTCCTTTTACAGCTGCATTGACAACATGTGCAGGATAACCATTTTGTATCACAATCTGTTTGCAAATAGATAAATATTAAACATTAAAGATTGAGTATCTTATATAAAAAAAAAGTTTTTCTAACAAAGTTATTAATAAATATACGATTTATCTAAAATATAATATAATACTTCAAATTCTTCTATACTAAAATATACTCAAAAGAAAAATTCAATGCATAGATATATAATCAATATTAATTTCTTAATCTCTGTTATTGTAGAAAATAAATATTGCGCTCACCAATAAATGACGAATCACTTTGTCACAATTGATTGATAATAACGGCTCGATATCACCATCGGATTCTATCAACCATAAATTTAAAATTTTACTCAATAAATTTTGCGGAAGGTCTGAACATTTAAGACAATAACGTAAAAGATCGATGTGATGAATATAAAATTTGCTGATCTCCAACTCTTGCAAGATATTCGTCAATTCGGTAACTGCAGTTTTATAATTTCGTATTAAATTAGGACACTGGTGAGACACAGATGTGACCTACGAAAACGAGCACAATTAATGTTTAATGAACAAATACGAGGAAATAAATGTACTTACAGCGAATAGGAACCATAAAGGTTTAAAAATCAGAACTGAGTTCGGCTTAGATATTGAAAATAGCAAGATTCTAGAGATTAACGATTCCAAAGATATTATATCATTTCTGAAAGCAATATAGATTGTACAATGTTCGTGAGTCACAAATGTAAATAATATTGTGTAAAAAAATTAAATCTCGTACTCTCCAGTGCCTTGAAAATGATAATATAGCAAAATCAGCAAGGCCGTTCCAGCATTTCCGGAATACGATGCCACAACATTGTTCCAATGCTCTTTCGTTGAATTTTTCAATATTAAATCTATAAAATCTTTACGCAAATTATATGCAAACTGGTGATTATCTCTGATTGAAAATGTCCTTGTACTAAGAACGCTCAGAATCTGTGATAGTAATGTGCAAATATTTCTTCGTAAGTTGTTCCTATAATACATATTTCTATATATTATTGTGCAATAATTTATATATATATATATATATATATATTCTTAAATTAAATATATTTACAACTATTAATTTATGCTCATGTTATAATGCTTCAAAAATGTTTGCGTTTTCCGGTAAATTTTTAATGTAAAATAGTATATAATATTTATGTTATTTTGCATTCGATGATTGCAATCGTAATACAAACCGCGCATACGTATTAATAACGTAATCCTATATCCATTCAACATTAAAAACCGATGCAACTTACGGAAGCTCTGGAGTCAAAAGTAAGAAGTATTTCAGATAACCATTAGCAACCAAGTGGTTTGACAAGTTTTCATGAGAACAGTTTTCTAATTGATACATATTGTTCAGACAGAAGATGAAATTTTCATGAATCTCGTTCGAATCTACGCGGGACAAGTTTGCGTCCTGCCGAAAAAATGTTCATTATATAACGATATACTCTCATGATTTATTGTTAATATTAAAAGTGTCACTTTTAATGTATATTTTATATTATCATACGTACTTTGACATATGGTATAATCATATTCTGTATCATATCGTAAATGTAAATTAATAGATTATTTTTCTTTGGACAAATTTCAGGCGCCTCCGTTTGACTATTTTGCTCAAAACAGAACCTGCCAAACAAATTGATGTTTGTAATATAAAGTGGATTAAATGTTAAGAAAAATACAATATAATTTTATCGGTGTCTTTTCTTCACACCTAGAACTGCCGGCGCAAGTACCGCATAATATGATAGTAGCTTGTGAAATTATGTTATCGTCGTTATCATATTTGATAATTTCTCTCAATAATTTTAGTGCATCGCAAGAGACGTCAATAATTATATCCACATCAAGGCATTCATTGATAGTTACTTGTCGCAGAACGACATTTAATATCGTGATGGTTGCAAATTTTATTTTATGATATCGCAAATCTAGGATATTAAGATCCTTTATGAAAACTATAACCTGCTGCGGAATGCAGACATTGTCGAAATCTATAGCTAATTTCATTGATCTGAAAAAGTTAAATATGATTAATGCTTCATTAAATACGATGTACGAATTACGCGTTATGTTGTCAATGCTTCGGCAAAGCAGATTATGCGTAATAAATAATTGAAAATCTCATTGATGTTTTAATATTTGTACATATATATAATATATAGAGATATAATTATAAGCAATATGAATAAATAATATAAATCATGAATAAATATAAATAATAAATAATTATAAATCCACAGATTTATATAATAATAATTTATATATAATAAATTACATATGTTTGTTTTTTTAAATGAAAAATATAAAGAAATATACCTCACAAGTATATTGCAGACACATTGTATAATCTTTTTAAACATTGCTGTGTTTTTAAGTGAATGTGCATAAAATGACTAATGTTTAACATTAATTTTATAACACTCATGGCCGTGTGATTTTCATAGAACTCTTTATAGATGCTTACGATATCGAGAAACTCGAGAATGACACTGCATACATGAAAATAGAATAATCATAAACATTTTTCAAACTTGATTTACATGATGAAGAAATTGAATGTAACAAATAATAAATATTGAAATTATTATAACATAAAAAAATTGCATACTTTACAAAATTTTCGTCTGAAGTCGCTTGCATTGCATCGCATATGCTACAGATTATGTCACATTTAACGAGTTTTTCCACAAAATAATGTCTCATCTTTGATTCTTCTTTTTTCAAACTCTTTAATATTTGCTCTGCGACCCACATCTATTTTCAGGAAACAAAGATAATAAAATTATAATTGCAAAACTACGAATCTAGATATAGATTTTCTTATATTTTGCGTACAAATCTGACTCGTTTCATTACTTTTTTACTTATTTTTAAGTAATTGTCTTCAATTCGTACTTTTTCAAACTTATATACGCAATTTAATTGATATAAAAATAATGTTCGACATAAATGTAAAACGCGAGGCTCAAACGTGAATTTGCAATATGGATGCGAATATCGTGTAATACCTGTGAATCTGTTGTCCCCGACATTAACTTCAACTTGAACTGCGGTAGCAGGGCGTTTAATTCGAAGCATGATTCCATGGTGTTTAATTATTTGTTACAGGGACGACGTCAATAATTATGAGCGACGAAGCCGATAATTCCAAATGAGACACGACCAGGCGCTAGAATGCTTTAATACTATGAAGTTGCATCAATGCTTCCAATAAAAGCAGTTAAGGTAACATACACAATAGTTAATTTTCCTATAGAAAATAACTTGTATATACGTACGTGGAATATATAAATATATTGAATTTTTTATACACGCATTTTATATAAATATAAATTAATAGAAGAATTAATAGAAGAAATATAAATTAATTATTTATTAATGATCAATGTATCAAGCGGAACTTATCTTTATTTTAATTACTCATCGAGCCTGCGAATCGATTGTTTCATTTTGCGTTCTTAATTTGAATTGTATATTTAGATCGTCGAAAAGTCTAATAATAAAGATTCAAACGAAATATATATAGCTTTACGTATTATCGAAATATCTTACTTCCGCTCTTCATTTGCATTTACTCATTTATCAATCTAATTCGTTAACTTATCATCTTATTTTAATGTTTTATTTTTCTCAAAAAACTTATAAGTAATATATAAAAAAATCTGAACAATTTTAATAGTTTTTCTTTACCAAATTGTTTTTTAAATAAATATTTTATAAGATTTAAATATATTTCATAAAAATTGTAAAAATAATAATTATGAGTTTATTTTTTTTTTTAATTTTAAAAACTTGTATTAATTTTTTTAAGTACTATTATACAAATTATCAGATAGAAGAAAATTCAATACAATGACATAAACTTTAAAAAAAAAGCAAGATATTAAGTTAATTAAATATAGAATATACAAAGAGATTAGAAATCAGCATACGTTGTCTAAGTAAATGTGTTCATGGTTATTGTGTTTTATTTCAAACGTGTTATAAATTATCATACAAATACAATAGCATAATCGTAATATATTATAAATGTTAAACAATCCTGAGTAATTATTCTACATAAGAGAAAATCGAAGTTTTTAATATCCTTTATCATCTTAATATCAAGCGAATCACTGGAACGAATCGCAATAATATATAATATAGAATACAATAGTAATATATATATATATATATGTATATATAAACAATTCACATATATAATATAAGGAAGAGGGGGGAAGGAAGGAATTAATTTCTATTTATACTTTCTTAATCCTCAATAAAACGTCATAAACTATACAGTATTAACATCAAATGATCGCAATCTGAAAACATTTACATAATGAGAAAATGCGATAATACACAGTGCAATGTCATAACGCCATATTATGTGCAAAATCTATACATAACAAGAGCAAGAAACAAGAAACGATCTCGTCGTTCTCGAGAATAACAAACGAAAAAAAATCTCTCCCTCTTCTTTTATATCGTCTCAATTGAGACGTCTCAGAAATATCTTCTCTCTAATAATCAGAATCGAATATAACTCATATAAAGTATTTATATCTCAAAAGATAACAAATTCAACGGGACAAATTCAACATTCCCTTCTGGAAATAGACGTGCATAAAGATAGAATTAATTTTAATCAGCATAAAATCGAATTTCTAATTTCATAAGCGTGCTTGACAAATAAATTATCTTCGGAATTACGAGAATATCCATATTTAAGCATTCGTATCTAAATATATTTAGCACGCTTAACATAATCTCCTTTAATAATAAGTGCAAAATAGAATTAACTTGACGTTATTGAATGCGCCGCTCAAACAATCTTGCGAATTTTACGAAAGTTGGATGAAATTTGATAAATTTATCCTTGATCCTACAGTTTTACATCATGATACGTCTACGCTACATTATGATAGGTTTTTACGATGATTGTATACATCATTCGTAATACACATTTCTTTCTCGTAATTCACATTTATTTTTAGCACCAAAGAGTATATGTGTGAAAAGTTTCACGCGTACAGCGCTTTGCGATCAATAATGCTCCAAAATATGCATTTCAAAATCGATATTCGCGAAAAGTCAATGGTAGCAAAAGGACTATACTCGCAATCTACGGTAAAAAAAACCCTTTATCAAAGTCTAAATGCATATCAAAGAACGGCCGCTCGCAAAACAGCGCGGCGTGAGTAAACACGTTTAGCAAAAATTTTTTTTTCTCGGGAAAACCTGTCAAAAACGACCTATCGTGATCGATAGGCCCGTGATGAACTCTCGATGTTACGCCTTTTCATATTCGTGAAAGGGAAAGATGGGGAAAAATACGTAATTTACCCTCTTCTAATCAATCGGGACTCGTTTCGGTTATTGAATCATGTTTACCTGATAAACATGCTCAATATTCACAATATTCACGACGAGCACGATCGGCATTTCGACTTTGGTCCATCAAAAATCTTTCGAGCCTCACATGATTCTCGCATGGCAGTGATGGAATTACGATTCGCACGTTTCGCGAATCGTATATACGGTATTGTCCGAATTATCTATCGCATGGAACGATTTCATTTATTGGTCCATGAGTCGAGCGATATCGAAATAGTTTCACTCTTTGCAATTTCGAAAAAACGCGAAATTTTCTTCCTTTTTAGTATTATAAATAGTATACAATAAGACTTATTGTTCGGATTGCTTAAACTTGCTTTTCTTTAGATATATAAAATGTAATCATTTCAACCGTTTGTGTACGTACTATCTAATTTCGTGACATTTCGATCAAAGTACACAAAAAATCAAGAAACTAGAATTTAAAGTTCGAAACGCTTCTTCCTCTCGGCGACCATGCCTACGGCGGGTAGAGGAGGGTGAAGTGGATGATGGTAATTCGACGTGGGTGTCGGAGGTAGGCTGCGACAACTTCTGCTGGACCACCTCACTGTTGGAGACCTCATCAGCTCTGTAACAAATACATATATGATGATGTGGTATTAAATATTATTAGTGATTATAAAGATCTATCAAGCACATAAACTGTACGTAAACACAGAACTTAATAAGTGTCGCACACGAGAACAACAAGACAGACAAGATGCTACTCGTACAAAACATAAAGATGCGATAAACGTAAAAGCAACTAAGATGAACGAAACGATACTGCGTTGAGGGTGACGAAGCAACGAAGAAGGCAAAACGGACCTGCAACGGAGAGAGCTGCGGGTTCCGAGGTGAGGCGGGATGTGTTACGAGCGTCGGCACGGAGGGTGTATGTCTCCGGGTGTTGCTGCTGTTGCTTTTCATTCTGCTTGCTCTCCTGCCAGGGGCTGCTGCCGACTCGCATCTCTGTTGTTGTGCCACCTTACATTCCAAATAATTGCCGAGATATTGTTACGGTCTGTATATACATTATCGTATACCGTCGTTGTGTACGTATTCAGACGTCAATTTGTATCGTAGACGTTTAGACAATGTCAGTTATTATGAAAATATAATGAGAAACATTAAAATCGCTACAAAATACGTTGTATAATATGTTTTACATCTAATGTTTTTGATTATTCAGGAATCGTATATGAAAAGTATCTGCTTTAATTCTTGCTCATTTCTTTCAGATTTCTTAAATCTTTCTTAGACTTAATTTAGATTTTCACGTTTTTCAATATAGCATTTAAAAAAAAATATATGTACTTTATTATGTACATATATTTTTTCCGAATATTAAAATAAGATAGAAATCAATTTCAAATTTTTAATTATTCGCTGTTTAACTTCATCATTAAAATAATAGTGTTATAGTTATGCTAGTACACGGTTACGATATTTGTGTTAAAGATGCGCCAGCGAAAATTCAATTAACTAAAAAGCAACTTATTACATATTTTGATCATTAGAATCATTAAACTTTTTCATAAAAATTATGATATGCAAACATATGATAATTGTCAGATCAACATACAGTTTATATCACTTGCACATCTTTAGCATGTTATATATACGATAGATAATTAATATCCTTATATAATAGAATGGACATTTATAGCATATAGCGTTACAACCATGATAAGACAAGATTATTTCGCAGATTATTGCACATGGTACTCTTATACAGTTCGTGTTAGCAAATAACCAGTGTTAGACAAGCATTGCATAATAATCGTATGCAGTTGATACCAGTTAATTAGTATAGGCACATTTTTAACGTTGGTTATCAATACCTACAACTCATAATGACAAATTAAGATTAATTAATCGTCAATTTTGTCGATTTTTCTCAAAGAAATTAGTACAACAATTAACAATATTGTTATAGTAAAGAAAATACTTAAATATATTTACATCTACATGCTATATACGAACAAGCTCTCAAATTAACAATCGTCGTTTTCGATAAATATTGCACATCTATATTTATGAACTAAGAAGAAAATATATTCGCAATCTTTATGTCAGTCAACGAAATTTTAATAGTGTTAATATCTTAAAAGCGCTGTTAATTTGCATAAAGCATATGTTAATCTTGTATTCTGCCTTTGCAAGCTAATAACGATCGAAGCCTTGCCTAATTTTTCTCGCACTATTTTAATTCTTTTTTGTTATTACATCAGAAAACAATCTGACTTTTTTGATTGCATGCGGAAAATTGTTTCGAGTAAAAATCTCCGAATCAAATGTCGTATAAAATGCGTTATAAAATAATAACAATCATCGATAATAAAATCACGATTCTATTAGCGTTATAATATTTTACAAAAGCACCATAAGAACTTTCCCACTGTCGACCGACAACGCATTCCATCACCGTAGACTTCTTCCTCTTTCTCTGTCTATCTATCTTTCCCTTAGCATTCATCTCTCTTCTGTACCTTGATATTGATGGGCAGGCCGCTCCTCGGTCTCAAGCTGTCCCATAATGGCGAATCCAGACGAACGTTACGCTCCTGATCTTTTTTCTCTAAGCTCGCCGGCGATTCTTTTCTGACAAAATGCGAGCCAGAAACGCCGGCACTACTCGCCGGCCTAGTTATCAAATTACTCGAATACGGCAACGAAACCGACTTTACGCGCTCGAGTTTGTACGAGAATGCGCTTTGAGACCGATCCATCGACAGGGATCGTTTTTGTAACACGCTGGACAAGGTGTTCGCCCCTTTTAGACTTCGTTCGCTCATTAATTTCTGTTCACCGCCACTTTGGCTACCCCTGAGACGTTGCGGCGAGTAGGCAGGCGAATAGTCTAGCGATAGGGCGGCTTTCGACGATTCACGAGGGGTGTCCCCATGCTGTTAGTGAAATATCGAAAATTTGCGTCAATGGGCGAGCAGTATGTGAAGGGGTAGGATGGTTAACGCTAAGTCGAATCGTTTAAACTGCTTACTGAGTTACAATTACATCAGTTATGGTATTTGCGACAAGTGGTTTCGTTTAAACATGATATTATGTACAAACTGATATATCTAAATTCGAATAAATAAACACAAAAGAGGGGAAGAGTCGTTAATGAAAAGCGTAGGATTTTTACTAAATTTCATTAAAGCGCAACAAGCTCGCCAGGCGAAACACCATAATATGTAATTGCAGCAAAATAGAGTTAATCAATTAAGTAGTATACATAAGTGTGTTAATCACATTTGCTTTTCTTAAACGGTAAACTTCTTCTAAGCATAGAGCAATACCTTGAATTGTTGTTGCAGTCGATGTATCTCTTCCCTCGGTTCAGCGATCTCGTTGTCCCTACCTCTCAGAATCTGTATGGTATCGTTGATACCACCTTCATTCGTCTCTAGCACTAGATGCGCTCTCAATTGCTTATTTCTCGCATCTAATTGCATGATGTGCTGTTGCGCCTGGGCGAGTTGCTTGGACAGATTACCCACTCTCTCCTCTAATGCAGCGGACTCGACGCATTTCGACGAATACTTGGCGGACAGGGAAAGAATCTCTTGTTTTATCTCTTCCATTTCTTCCCTAAAAAGAAAAAAATATGTATTACTTTTTACATTTTACTCACAGTAACTAATGCTTGGGTGATATTTTTACATACTCGTGTTCCTTGTGTAGCACCCCGATATCCTCTCGAGCCTGCACTTGCTTGATAAACTCCTGCTTGAACTTGGCAATTTCCTTTTGTACCTCGTGTTCGTGCGCTTTTCTCATAGCGTCCAATGCAGCCAAAGTCGCTTGCGTCTCTTCGGAGAGCGCTTGTTCTTTATCCACTCTCAGACTCTCCAGCTCCTGTCGATGTTTCTCCTCCATTTCGGCGATGATACGTCTATGCGAGTTCTCCATAGCCAATAAACCTTTCTCGCATAATGCACGTAATTGCTTGATCTCTTCCTTGTACCGCTTCCGCGTCTCGGCGTCAGTGTCCAATTCGGCGCTTATAGATCGTTGATAGGCAGCTCTTAACTCATTCACATGAGCCGAATGTTCGGAATCCATCGCGTTGAGACGATGCTCCAATTTTCTGGCTCTCTCGCGTAGACTAGCTGCCTCTTGCTCGTATTGAGTCGTCAGAGACTGTCGCTGACTGTCCAATTCACCTTTGATGTCTATCAGATCCCTCTCCTGATTGCGCTTAAGCATCTCCAGTTCTTTATTATGTTCGGTAGTTATCTTCTGAAGAGTTTCCTGCAATTGAGTGCACGTCTGACACGATATATTGTTCATGTAATCATCCAGCTTCCTTATCTGTTCCCGTAAGTGCAAGCACTTCTCGCAAACGCTAGACCAATCCGCAATGCTGCTTGTCGATCTGGACCAAGCAGTATTGTCGATACTCATTCCTGCTTTATCTCTTATGCATTTGCTGAGTCCGGCTAGATCTTCTTCCAAGTAAAACAACGACTGACTGACATTTTTCAGTTGCTCCTTTGATTCTTTTTTCCCAGATATTCTATCTTCACATTCCTTGGTCAATCGTTGATAAAGGTAACTATACTCTGCATCGAGGATCGGATTACTTTGGAAGTCGTATCCTTCGTCATTCGTCAAACAGGAAACGATCTCTTCGTTTCGAATAAGACTAGATACAAAAGTCTCTCCAGGCAATGTCGTGATTGATTGCCGTGTAGTTTCCTGAAGGAGAGCGATTCTGGAGTCTATTAAAGCTTTGTGCGCAATCACGTCAGCGTAGTCTGTCAGCAACTGACGGGATTCATGTTTGGAATCGATCGCTGTTAACTTGTTCTTCTTCATCGTACGTAAACATTCCTCATAAGCCTCCGACAGCTCGTGTATGGAGACTTCCATTTCTTGACGTAGTCGCGTTTGTGCCGCGTCCACCCACGACTCTAATCTGACATTGTCCGCTCTGTCAAAGCTAAGACAAGTATCCATGATCGAAGTGACGTTTTGCTCGTACAGTTGACCGTAACGCATAATAACGTGAGACACTTCAGCCTGCACAAGTTCCTTACTTACTGTCTCTTGCGCTAAAGCCCACGCCTCGCGAATGCGTCTATCCTCGAGCAGTTTTTTATTCGATCCGCTAATTTGTTTGCTCGTGAGATCCTCTTGTTCGGATAGACTAAACGTCTCGAGAGCAAGAACTTCCGCGAGCTGTTGCAGTTTCGTGTCTTTGTATTTTCGCATAATCTCGTTGATCTCTCGCTGCTTCTGCAGTAAAAAGTTCAGGCTTTCACTGCGAGCCGCGTTCATCTCCTTCGATGTTTCCGTCAACGCGGAGACATGTCCTACCAGTACTAACTTATTAGCTAACACCTTAGTAAGATATTGAATATAATTGGTATTTTGGTATGTTTTGGGCTTAGTTCCATGAATCTTACGCTTTAAGCTTGAGGCAAGCTGACTAGTTTCGACCAATTCACTCAGAACGGCGCTCTTGTCTGTTGTGCGATTCAACGCACACTTTATCTGTCGCAGAATCACGGATTCGAATGCTATCCTCTCAGCAACGAGCTTCATCTTCTCCCTCTCGTCCAGCCGACCTTCCTGCGCCAGCGACTGCCGTCTCCTCGTGAGTTCGCTCAGTTTATCCTTAAGTATAACTTCTAGCCTAGATACCACTACTCCTACTGACTCGATGACTTGAGCGCTAGCTTGATTCTTCTTACATTCTAAGCACGAATCCAATATTTCATTTACGTCGCGTAAACACTTCTCGGCTTTATCCTCCGCTTGCGTTGAGCCGAGACACTTCTCTAATCGTCGCTTCGACTTCGATACCGCTCTCTCCAATTTCTTCAATCTTGCCAGCACCTCCAACGATATCTCGGAAGACCCGCTGACCTCGCTACATTCGCTAGAATCTTTCTCCACATCGCTGACCATAGTCTCAGCGACGTTTGCAACTTTTGTTTCTAAAGTGCTCAATCTAATCAACACTTTCATTGGTTCAGAGCTTGTTGCGCTATCTAAGGATTTTCTTCGAAGTTTAGTACGATCCAAATTTTTGTTTTCTCGTCTCTTCTCTTTTTTCAGATTAGGACTCGATTCCTTCGAGCTGTTGCCCGCTGAAACGGGGGCGCTGATGCTCTTACCCTTCTCTATAGCGCGGATCTTGTTTTCTAAATCCAATAATTTGTCTTCCACCTCTTGAGAAATCTGGAAAGATTCCCTTCCTTTGAGAGAGAGTGATCTTCTCTTGTCCCTGCTTTCGGCTTTTGTTAGTTTCTGTCTCAATGTCCTAACTTGCTTTTCGCTAGCGGCTAACTTGTTAGTCAGATCTTGAATTCTCGCTGCCATTAGCTGAATCTGTGCCTGATTGCTCTCGCTGACGCTAATTGCGTCTTGCTTATGAGCAAAGATTTCTAATTCCAAAACATCCTGTGTGGCATGAGCTTCTCGTAGCTCCTTCCTCATAGCTCGAATTTCCATAACAGCCTTCTCAAAACGGCCGCGCAACTCGTCATACTCTTCCATAACCCTATCACGAGAATAATACATCATATAAGTGATTACTGTTCATAATATATTGCTATTATATTTTACAATGCGCATTTACCTTTCCTTGTCTAATGTAGTCAAATCTAAATCCAACTCGATGTTAGTTAAATCGCTAAGCGAATCGAAGCTTCTCCCCCGTTCTCTCGAAGCAGAGAGTCCATTCTTCTCTTCCAATTCTCTTACTTTATTGTAAAGTCTTTCGTTTTCCTCAATACCTAGAGAAAAATAGATATTTAAGAAATAATTACATTATCAACTATTTTTATTTAAACCCTTAAACTAAATATTAATTAAAAAATATTATTTTAAGAAAGAGATATCTTTACCTTGCGACAATCTGTCGCTAAGAGTTGTTATTTCAGCTTGCAAATGCTCGACAGTTCTATGATTCGATGTCAACTCGTTCGTAAGCATTTCGCATCTCTCTGAAGTCTCCCTTAGAAGAGCCTCCGTCTCCAATAATTTGCATTCCAAGACTTCCTTGTCTCTATTGTACATTTTCTTCATTTTTTCCAGGTCATCCAGATCCTTGTTTCTCTGTTGCTCGGTCCTCTGTATCGTATTCAACAATTCTTCTACTTGCTTTTCCCTGATGGATGCTTCGGCCTTTTGCTGTCTTAGTCTAGACAGCTCTTTTTCTGCGTTTGCGATATCTGTTCGCGCCGCATTCAATTGCGACTTCAAACTTTCGATTTCATTCTCTTGACGCTCGACAATGACTAGTAGCGTACTCGGATGAGACTGATTCTGATCCAGTTGATCGCGCAGAAGCGACACCTGATTCTCCAGAAGCTCGACAATCAAAGGACTGTCATTAGCACTCGAAAGGCAGCTATTGTTCTGCAGGTGGCCATTGCTCTGTTCCTCATCTTCGCCAAGTTCGCAACAAGCCATCATCAAATCCTCCGATCTCACACTATCTAGGGTACTTCTCCGCGAGCTTGGAGGCGAACTTCGGCTTCTCTTGTAGACTCTCGATCTAGAACTCGATCTGGATCGAGCTTTCACCCTGGATAACGCGGTTCTCGTTAACGGCGGCGATGGTGGTAGCTCTGACCATTCATGATTTGCCGAATCCGACCAGCCAGAACCCTTGATAGGCCAATCGCCGTTCCTCAAAAGTGGCGGCGATACTGGCATCTCCGACCAATCGCCGGATTCTCTTCGTCCACCCTCGGAAGCAGTCCTATACTCTTCGTCGGACGAGAACAGAACCGATCTAGGCGTGATAGATGTCGAGGGAACGACAGAGTCTCTTTCACGATCCACGATGGATCTACAAGACAGATACAAATTTTATATATATGTAAGTTATATATTAAAATATTATACAATAGTCTATACTCACGTGGTAGGCGACTGCGGATTTGTCTCTTGCTGAGTGTCCGAGCAAACGGTAAGAGAATCCACATTACTGTCAGAATCAGGTAGATTGGCTGCTCTTTTGATAGCTGACATCCAGCTAGACCTGATACCAGCAGTCACTGCCGATAACACCGTAGTGCCCCTGTCATCCCAAGCCTGTCGAAAATTAAAACAATATGCATAATTTCCTTTCAAGCGAAAAATGTGGTTGTTTGATCCAATTTTTTTCAAACGTAAAAAATTGATATAAATCCCATTTCCTCGATTTTACATAATAATTAGTCTCGTTCTTAAAACCGGTATGAAAAATATAATCTAAATCTAATTAAAAAAATTATCTGTATATTTTAATTTTTCTATTTAAAAAAAAAGTTGCACTAGATTATAATGATACAAATATAATATATGATATATATTGTATAATCTTACAAAGCAAGAATAATTATATTCTGGAAAATATTTTTTTAGTACAAACACATGATATGACACATGACACTTACGACAGTTTGGAATCCATAATTCCGCGCGACCTGTAGCGGAGTGACCGCGGTGACAGTATTGAGGTCTATAACTCCGTCCATGATGCCCTTGTCCTCCGCACAGGGATCTCTATAATACATCAGTCCGCAACCTCTCAGAACAAACCAGTGCTTGTTCCATTCCTAGACAGAAAAACAAATTTCTTAAGAGACGCGCGCGAGAGATTACGTTCGCGAAGAAGACACGAGACGCACCTTATTCAAGCCTTGTTTCATTAGCCAGCCTTTCTTGATGTTTAACAAGTCCTCTGCCGGCAGATCAACTCTTAGCTCGGAAGTGGGTGAGTACCTGATGCCGGAAATATCTAGGCCGCAACCGTCAGGATCGCCTCTGATCTATATATGAAGCATTTTACATAATTATCTTGTTTTTATTCCTTATACCATTTCAATCATATTAATATTATTATTTCAACCTTTTAATTAATTTGAATAATTAGATTATAATACAAATCAGATAAAACTCTTCCTTTAATTCTTACAAAATCGAAAAAATGTGTTGCAAATAACGCAATGAGTAATTGTCATATGTTAAAACGCAAGACATGTAATTAACGATTAATAATGAATATCTTCCATATCTCTTTGCGTTACGTACAAGTTTATCTTGATGAGCCGCATTGACCGCGTCCACTACGTCTCTGGTTGGCTCCGAAGTTCTTGGTTTAATTCTCCTCACTCGTGGTTGCGTTAATGAAGCCGCTATATCCCGCAGCTTCCCTTCTCTTTCCCGCTCGTGCTCCAAAAGTATCCTCCGGCACGCGTCATCGTCTGTATAATATATTTATCTTATATTACACTATGTGATATTTCTGTCGTAATATAAGTTTTTCCTCGCGCGAATTTTATAAGGTATATATTATCATAATATAATTTATCTATAGCTATCCATCTATTCGTTTCTTTATTTCATTATTTATTCTCACGTGTCTAACAACGATAGTTCAGGATAGTATAAATTATAATTATGGTACTTAGAATTCCATGGACACACACAGAACAACCATCGCACGAGGTGAAATCGTTAAGCCGTCTTCCTGCATTCGTCGTTATCAAAATATTCGCCTCGGTACGTCTTGGCGAGTTAACTAATTAATTTCTTTTCCGCTTATAAGAGTGCCCTTCGTCCAACACGCTGACGCCGGTACGGGCAAACGACCACTTCGCATTAATTGACCGCCGACTAATTAATAACCTGGTTGCTTCTTGCTGCAGGAAGCATCAGAGAAGTGAAAGACTATCTTGCGCGCTTTCCTCCTTGTTTACCTTAGTAATATATCAAAATCAAACATGTCATCGTTATATTAATGGATATATGGAACATAAAAATTATCACAATTTATCTCTAAATATATATTAAATTAATAAAGAATAAAAAAAAATAAATAACGTAACTCAAAAATTAATGAATTGAAAATTAAATTCTACCAAAGTTAAAAAAAATATAAAATTAAATTAGCAATGGATTATGTTAAAGTAATTAAATAATCAAGACAAATAATTAAATAATTAAAATATACAAGATTTTTTCTTTTGAGAATTTTTATGAGAAGATCATGATGTGGCTAATAAATCGCGTAGATAAATTCCGCATCGGAATTTTTCATCAGACGCGATTAAAGCCGACTGAGGTTTTAATCGACGATCTGCTGTTTAAATCTCCAGATGATTCCGACGTTCCGATAAGACTCGCACGTTTCAATAATCCACGTTCGTAGTAAATTGTTAGCGAGATTGTTCTACGCGGATTTCGCATGCCTGCGATTTTTCTGAATTTTTCGCAACGCAATTTCTAAAGTATCCCGTCGTTCCTTCGACTTCAATCTAAATGAAATCTACGAATCGCGGTGCAACGTGCAAGCGATCGCAAATTTCCTACGTAATTATCCTATGCAATTCTATGGTGGATACTATCGATACTTTCTCGGAGAAAAAAATGATAGACTAAGATTTTATTATAAAAATCGCGTAAAAACGAATAGTAACAGACCCGATTTTTCTTGATAAGAAATCACACTTTGTGTGATTGTCATTATATGCAAGTAAGTTATTATTTAAATAATATGTATCTAAATTTGCACTATAATTCATAATTCTCTTGAAAAACATTTAATTTCATTAATGTAGTTTGCTATATGCCTAGCAATGTTTTATTAAACTATTGCGTTTGCAATATTAATTACGTCGAATAAAAAATAGGTCAGCTACCCGACTTAATGTGTCAGCTGTTGTTTCTTTTGCGAATTGCAAATCATCGTCATTGAGAATGTAAAATGCAGCGTCCTAGTTTCCATCCGTATCTAAACTAGTTTTAGCTGACTATTAAGAAAAACTTTCGACGTAATACGTGACAAAGCGAGACGAACATCTGGAAAGTTACTACTTCTAATTTAACTTTCATGTTACCTTGAAACACGTCTCAGAAATGACATATAATATTATTTGTAAATTATTCGCTATCAATCATCTACGTCCCAATTTTAATCTCGATACAGCGCAACGTAAATCAGTCCAAATGAGGCGATCAAACACAGCAATATATCTTCCTATCATCAGGTCTCTAATTATAATATCTTTACAGGATATATAATTTAATTGAACAAAATAAAATATTCGAAAAAACAAGTCACGATTTTAATATCATTCTCTTTAATAATTCAATCTCATTAAATTTTAATTCAACTATTTAAAAAATTCAGAATCGCGAACACACACAAAAAAAACAATAAATCTTAATAATCGCGTTATGTCGAAAGTCACAAAGAATCGAGCAAATGTTGCATGTAATAAAAGAGTGAAGGAAACGTCAAAAACGGATAGATGACAATTTTATCTGTCAGAGGCATCGGATGCAGAGAGAAATGATGTCTCATCGAATATACCGACCTAGTTTCTCGCCGGAGGCCGTGCCGGTCGTGTCGCCGGTTCGTTCGCCCTGCTGATTCATCCTGCGCCTGGCCTTGTCCTCGGCACGGAGCTTGTCCCGGGTCGGCGGTGACGCGCTGCTGGCAGGTTGATCCCGATAGCTCGTCGATCTCGCGCCGTCGTTGGGGATCATCGGCGGCTTCTCGGTCAACGAGGCGATGCTGCTCGAGACGGTCGTCGAGGTCGTCGAATATACGGTGCTGCAAATATTGCCATTCAACGACGTCGTCGTCGTCGTCGTCGTCGCGGTTGTCAGGTAGCTTCCGCTGGAGCCATTCTCGAGGGACGCCACGGTATGCAGAGGTGACAAGTTGCTCCTAATCTCGGAGACGCTGTCCGTCTTACCGTTCGTCAGCACGCTATTGTTGGCGGTGCAGACGCTGGTCGTCACCAAGGACGGAGTAGACGAGAAGACGGAAGAGCAAAGGTCTGACGTTCCGCTCTCTGGGATCCACGCGCTGCCACGAGGCTCTGATCGACAGCTGTTGAAGCGCGGTCGCGGTGGATTTGGCGTGTTACCTGCGACGATCAAGTTCAAATGTTAGCTTTTGAGGATATTCAGTCGACCGATGCAAAGGCTGTAAAACTCTTCACGGAGGACACGAAAGAAAAATCAAGCACTTTTTACAAAAAGAATTCTAATAGAGAAATTTTTAAGCGAACTTGGAAAATAAATATATCAAGAAACACGTATATGTGACTTGACTCGAGTCAAGTTGCTGTAATCTCTCGAGAAAAATAATTGTGATAGATCTAATTAGGCAATTAGAGGGAATGAGAACTTCTTTAAGCTTGACGCTAGAGATAACGAGGTGGTACGTAATAATAATTATGTATTATGAAGAAGATATCTACTTTCTCCTTCGCGCGCCAACATTATCTTTTTGTTATTTATATCCACTACTGTCACACGCATTTCGTGTTTACCACGCTGGTTAAATTGTTGCACATTCGTTTGCAACTCTCGTTACATCAAATTGCTTGCGTAAAAAGACCCTTGTCTGTGCAATATTACTGTTCCGTAGAGCGAAATGACTAAGCGAGGTAGTAATTACGCCATCGTTAACTACTGGCGTGGACATATCTACGCATACGTGCGTATTACTGTAAAATCTGCATAACATGAGCAGTAGGCATACTCACTTCGAATCGTCGGCGTAACTTGCAGAATCGTTGTCTGTCCACCGGGGAAGGTTGCATTTCGCTTATGCCGACCCTGAAAACCACAGAACGCAAATCATGAAGAAATTGCGATGGAATATTTCCACACATTCTATTATTAGAACCCTCGAGCGTTCCTTTTCGCCGTTCACGTATCTCGGCTGATTGGATAATCGATCTGGAAAGCGATCCGCGAATAATTACGTTTATCCTCAATCATAATCGTGAAAACATCACGAAAGATATTTAATCAAATTTAACCAAGAGATATTCAGCGTCAATCAATACTATGTATACACTCACTCTAAAAGAAAGTGGTATACTTAAAATTTGGATAAAAATCAAATTTCAAATGACGATAACTTTGTAAATAATAAAGATAGGAAGATTTCTAAAAAAGAAAAATAAAGCTTGGAATCTGTACTTTAAGAATCTATTTATTTCAATGTGGCGAGATAAATTTATTAAAAATGGTGGATGACAAAACGAAAAGATGCAAAATTGAAAGATAATGATTCGCGTTTGCCAAGGCACATGGCATGAGTCAAATGTCGCAACTCAATGGGATAAAAAGCATATGATAGTACGGAGTCTCCCCTTTAAAATGCTTTTTTATTCATCTCAATACGATAATTTTTCGCCGAGATATTTGCATTTGAATAAAAAGGCAGCTTTTTACTTTAAATATGAATAACTCTGCGAAACATCATCGTATCAAGATGAATAAAAAAGCATTTTAAAGAGGAGACTCTGTATTATCGTATGTTTTTTATTCCATTAAGTTGCGACATTTGACTCACGCCGTGTGTCTTGACAAACTCGAATCATTATCTTTCAATTTTGCATGTTTTCGTTTTGTCATCCGCCATTTTTAATAAATTTATCTCGCCACATTGAAATAAATAGATTCTTAAAGTAGAGATTCCAAACTTTATTTTCATTTTTTAGAAACCTTGCTATCTTTATTATTTACGAAGTTATCGTCATTTGAAATTTTATTTTTCTCCAAATTTTAGTGTACTGCTTTTTTGGAGTAAGTGTTTATTTTTATCATTTATATGTATCTATATATATATATATATATATATTGATTAATTCGCGAATCATCTATTAATGGCAGATTCCTGTTCATTTGAAGACGATTTTTTCCTCAGCGAAAATGTCGAGAGAGAAGCCATCATTTTTTGCATGTTCCCAATTTTTGTCATTATGTATCTTTGCAACGAAGCCCCAAATTAAAATTCCATTAAAGTAATTTCTACTTGAAAATAATTGAAGAATGTGGTTTTGTTAATATTTTATTTCTACAAGACTTATCCTTTATTTTCAATGCTTATAATTCAAAAATAATTGATGCCTCGATATTTTCGTTGAGGAGTAATCATCTCCAAATAATCCCAGGAATGCGCCATTAACAGATAATTTGCAAATTTCGGCACACCCTGATATATATATATATATATATATATATATATATATATACACACCATACGATATTGTTTTTATCTCAAATGATATCTCAAATTAAAAAAGTCACGGCTGTAAGACTTCGCAAAGCCGTCTCGAGGTGCAAAGCAATTGAGTCCCCTTTGCGCAAACAACGTGGCGATTCCAAGGACAATAGAGAGAATAAGATGAAGAGGAAGGTGGGTAATTGCAAAAAAATGTGGAAAATAACGCGGGAGCAATGTTTTTCCTCCACGTTCACCGCGCTAAATGTCGCGTATGCATCTTGCCTTGGCCTCGTAACATAATCGTTCGTTTACACCAGCGGGTCCACGACGAGGTGTAGCCGTTTACCGATCGATCATATTGCTTGCATAATGGAATTAACGTGCGCGCGTAGCCGTGTAATCTCGTACGAACAATGCCAGATGGGATCCTGAACGATTCTTGAGCGCGAGGACGATTGATCGATTGTGCAGCCGACGCGAAACCCGCGCGAACGCAGAAAACACTTCATTCTGTTCTCTCTGAAGAGATAATTATCGAGCCATTGCCTTGGATGCGCACAAAGAGTACTGAATATGAAGAAGGAGATGCTTTTTGTCTGAGAATTACACGAGCTTCAGTACGCACAAGCGCTGTAATACATAATTTATTGTAATTTACAACGCGGCTTTACAAGATGATATTTACATATTTCGAATTTTTTTTTCAATTACTCTCCAATTCGAAAAATATTTGATAAATAATTTAAATAAAATTTAATTTAAAATGTATATGTATTATACAATAATACAAAATAGCAAAAATACGGGATATGTCGAAATTTGGAAAGTAGATTTTTGAACGCGTATATCGAATAAAATATCTATCCTTCGCTAAAGGACGTGGATACACGATAGTATGTTATATCGCACGCGTCACGATGTAATAACTCATGTTTCGCGTTTTGTACCAGAAGCCGAATGAAGAGATATATTTCTCCGCTCGCCGATCGATCATGTCTTCTTGCGTAATTTCGCAGCCGAGCAATCCGCGGTGTTGTTACGGAGTTCCGAGCACTGTAACGAACGACGCAGCTTTTGAGCGATTCGATTTACGGCGTCTAATTGATTGGAAGGTCCGCACGAGCGGACACCTCCCTATGCAATCGAAAAAGGTTGAACAATTACAACGGGGAAATGTCGGTCCGGTCCAAATTTTATCTCGACAAACCGCGATTTGTATGTTGCGCAACAAATATACACACGACATAAACATACACATATGTACGATTTGTAAACCTTGAATCGTCGACACGCAGAGCATTCTAATAACTGCCTTGCATAGCTGCATGGAATATCAAAAGTTTCAAAAATTGTCTCTCGTGTATCTTATCAATAAATCAAATTCTCATAATTATTAATAAAATTATTAATAAAAATATAGGTACAAGAAAATACTATAAAGGATCTTAATTAAAATCCTGAGAACGCGTTACAATAAAGAAAATTTAAATACTTAATTGTTAACTATTATAGCAACATGATGCATTGACATGTCATAATTAACAGAGTAGTTAAAGTAATTTCACGTAATAGAGGAGAGTTCATTCTCAACCTGGTTCGCCGCAGACTTCAGCGATTGGCGAGTAAAAGGATGCTCCATTTGTTACCAAACGCTTTCCGTCGTCAGCTGAATAATAACGCTCCGGCGCGACGTTAAGCGACGGTGAAAAGAGAAAACGCCGAGAAGAGGCCCCTTTAGAGATCGCGAAAAGACGAATGAATCGCAGGAAGCGGCCAATCGACTCGACTGACAACCCCCGAGAGACGCGCAAAGTCCCGTGACAAGTCGCGGCGCAAGTCCCTACCGGCGTTATTGTCGGCGTAATGAGCGCCGCGGTATGCATCGCCGATTATGCGAGACAGCATCGGCAGTTTCGCCGTAGCTTACGCTATTTTTTTCAAGGCCTTTTCAAGCGACAGGCACAATCACACTCAATAACCGCTTCATCATGCGAAAGCGCTCGCCCGCCTCGTTTATGAACTCGACGCGCATTTTTATACGTCGCGTTCTGTCCTATATCGTCGCCAATTATGCGACATATATACAATGGTCATTTTTATATAATAGAACAAGAATATTTTAGCTTAACTATCGTCTAAAAATAACAAAATTATTTAATTGTAGTTTAATTTAATTTCCCTCCCTCTGATTGAGATTCCGAAAAGAAATAGAGAATCATATTTAAAATTAATTACATGTTAATATTACGCAATTTTTTAAGGATGTATATTTTTAGACGTCTCCCATACATCCTTAACTATTTATGTTAAACGATTTATTGTAAAATAAGGGGAAAATAAATCGAAAAATAAGTGATAATAAAATCGTTTAAAGATCGTTTAATATATCGTAATTTCGCGACAGACATTAAAAGGCTAAACGCGCTGAAATAATCGATGCGATATTCTTCGGAACTCTCTTTCGCTCTCGTAACTCTCTTGTTACATCGAATAGGTTTCTGCTAGCATGCTGAAGCCCTATTAGAGTTAATCCCGTGGACGCGAAAAGACGTCACAGGCGAGGGAATGATTCTTGTGCGCGTAACAAGCATGACGCAGGAGAGGATGTATTATGGCACGTAATGATTATGCGAGAGCACGCGCAATCAGCCAACATTCTGCGCGTTTCTACCATTCGCGTGACTCCGTTCTTCTCGCGCGTTGCCCCTTTCGGAGAGAGAAGACGCGTATAATACGGTATCGATGCGGCCTCGCCGCTGCGTATACTCCGTAATCGACGTAAAATTAAATTCCCTAATGATACACGTAAGATGCCATTCTATATCGCAAGTGTACGTTAGGTAGGACGCACAGGATTCTTCGACCGAGTCATCTTCTCCAATCGATATTTCCTTCATAATTTCATGCAGAAATTGGATTGCGCCTTTCACATTTCATAACGGTTTCCGGTGCATTTCATTAAGCTGCACGAAATATATTGAGAGAGAGAGAGAGAGAGAGAGAAAGGCACGATTTTTATTTTATTTATAATTATTACCAAATTTTCTTTGATATATTCCTTTGGAATTATTTTGATAAATAACGCAAATAAATTTTCCAAGATATGGAAACGAAAAATGGATTGTATATTGACATTAGAACCAACTTTGTTTCGCGAATACACCTGGAGAACGTCCTGGCTTCTTGTACGATTTTCATTTAATTTATAATTATTACCAAATTTTCTTTGATATATTCCTTTGGAATTATTTTGATAAATAACGCAAATAATTTTTCCAAGATATGGAAACAAAAAATGGATTGTATATTGACATTAGGACCAACTTTGTTTCGCGAATACACCTGGAGAACGTCCTGGTTTCTTGTACGATTTTCATTTAATTTATAATTATTACCCAGTTTTTCTCTGGTATATTAATTTCGAAATACTTGGATAAATGACGCAAATATTTTTCAAAATATGGAAACGAAAAATGGATTATACATTGACATTAGAACCATATACCGACCTTGTTTCGCGAATACACCTGGAGAACGTCCGTCCACCACCTGGTCTCTTCGCGGCACGTGCCTTTGACGAAGGTCGCACCCTCCGGCGAGGTCACGGCCAGGCTGTAAGGATGCCCGGTGACGTCCTCGGCCGCAGCCACCTCCAGGACGCGGGTCATGTCGATCCTCGCCTGTGGCACCGTTTCGGGCTGCAACGATAAGAGAAACGAAATCCAACGTTAGACATTATGATTCATATCGCAGGAAGAAAGCGTTCTACTTCGCACGGTGAAGATTACGAGTCGAGTTAGCGTAATTGGCCGTCAAATTAAACAAATCTCCGAGCCGAGCAGACGGATATTGCGGAGTATTCGCTTGTGCAAAAAACCAACCGTATAATAATAAGACACCCAACATATCGCTCGCACATTGTAAATGCATGCACAAGTCCATTTCGTATGCGCGAAAGTGTGTAATATGGCAGTGATTACGTGCCATCTGCGTGTCACGTGTGTCCTCGTGCTTATTATAAGCTATACGGAACGTATAAACGAGGACGCTGGCAATCATCGACGGATAGCGATGCGACGCCACTTTTATCACCCTCGGTCTCTTTTTTTCTCCTGTTCGTCGGCCATTTCGCGAAATTGCACGTGCATTACGCATCGCATTTGGTCGATTGGGTTACACGAGGCTCACTCGCTGCACCGGAAACGTATCATTTCAGCGCGATAGGTGTGAGAGCATATATGCATATACCGGTTGGCAGCAGCAGCCAGCCAGCCGACCACGTATTTTCCCTCGGCCGTAAAAGCCGGACGGCAGGAATGACGAGCCTTATTGCTATTCCACTTCGCTCCTCGTAAAACGAAAGTGAGTCCCGTCGCATCGGTGTGCGATCGCGCAATTGCCGTCAATTTGAGAAGAGGGGAAACTTACACGGGACACTAACGGGCGAAAGGAATATTCGCGAAGGGAACGGGTAATGCGAGAGATGAGTTGCACGCTGATCAAAGCACAACCGTGGTTCTGCGTGTGACTGCTGCGGGCAGTTTTGCCCGCGCAAAGTGTGCATCTACCCGGGGAATGTCACCGCAATGCAATCGTCGGTACTTTACGGGAACGAGCCTATCTACCTGCGTCGGACAGATTGAGTAATACTCGGGCTACGAAACGAGCAATAAAGACTAATGGCTGACTTTTTAGTAATAAATTGAACGATAATGAAAGGAAATGAGTAACTTTGCGTCGTTATGTGTAATAATGATATCATTATCGTGCAGTCTCGATGCAAATTACTTGCATCAAACATTCATATATTCAAAAAATTTATATATTTTGCGTACCAAATATATCTTGAATATCGTACTGCTTTTCAAAACAAACTTAAAGCTTACATTTATTCACAGAAAAAAAGGAATCCTTGATTCAAGTATATTTTTATTCCTGAACGCTATTTGATTGATTTAAGCATAGATTGCTCTTTGTAATCGGCAAGTTTTCATTTGCCTTAATAATAAATAAGTTTGTGTATATTTTATCCTTAAGATATATTCTTGTTTTAAAAATCGCATATGATAAAAACAAACTTAGTCACATTTGAACTAAGAATTATTATATATATTTGAAAGTACCGCTTATATCCGATGCACACTTGTCACTTGTCCTTGCAATATTTATAAGTAAATTTCAGCTTCAAACCAAGAATATTTTGCACTTTGTTTTAAGGATAAATTATCCTTTATCCAAAATTATTTATATTTGGCGCTATTATAAGGATAAAATATACTCGAATCAAGGCATATTTGCATTCTCTCAAGGATACTGTTTTTTCTGCGTTTAGAAATTAAAAGAATCCGAAGTCGTTCTGTAAAAACGCAAAGTTATTTGTACGCACGTCGCGAAACAGCGCGTATAATTCAAAAAGGAACGCGCTGCAATTTTTCTCGCGCTCGAGCAGCGACATTATTCTTGAAACGCGAGAGGTTCATTTGCGCAGCGCATCATCTTATGCGCTCGGCGTTTTGCCGCGCCTACATATATTCTTCTTCCTTTGCCGTTCGCCACTCGCGTCGGAATAATGCAAAAATTTGCATACGAAAAATTCCTCCGCTTATAACCCGCTTAATTAATCGCGGAAGACGAGAGAGGGTGAAAGCTCACGCAGGAAAAATTTATAAACGTGGAAAATTCGCAATAGAATAACGGCAACAATAATTAAAAGATTAATTTTCTTATTTAATTCAATTTCTTTCTTAAAAATTCAAATTTTACATCCCTCATCTGCGTTTCAAACCAAGATCAAAGGACTCTGGATTGCGAGCAAGAAAGGGTGTGCGAAGAACAAACGCCTGGGAAAATATAAAAAAATGTTCAACACTGCTGCTCCCACATATACTTGCCTCTGTGGCAACAAAAATGTGAAAGACTTTGCAGATAGATCTCGCGTCTACGAGATTAACATAAAGTTTTGCATAACAATACTAGACCATTCAATAGAGATATAACTCGACGTTTATGAATATTACATATTACGAAATTACAATCACGACTATTCCGCGATTCGCGATGATTCGCGTACGCGATGCTCATCATTTGATGAGCTCGAAAACGAGAGTAAAAAAATGTAGATTGTTTTTTTTTTTTTCATCGGGTCACGCATTTCGCGTTAAGCTCGAGGTATGCGTAAGTAAGGCGGTTACGTTCGCGCAGAACGGACAAGTGTGAAAGAAAATCCGTGACGCATTAAGTCCGCATCGCGGCACGAGCCTCTATTAAGGCTACCACATGCCCTCGGATTATGCTGGGAACAGACGAAGGGATGCGTCCAACGGGGCGATACATCACGGCCCATGTCGGCCGTTACGTACACAAGACCGCCCTGCTCACGGTTTTTGTTCGCCGGACGTGTTTATTGGCAAGAAGTGGGTCGGCTCTTTTGGTCGGCTTTCCGTCTGCTTATTAAAGAGAGAATGGATTGTATCACGCGGAATTACTGCTACAATTTTGCATACGCGTCGAGAACGGCTGATTCTTAACATTAGCGCGGCCTGTTGCTCAAATTTTCCCGCGAGATTTTTTTAAGCAATGTTATTGCGAAAACTATTACGTATGTTGAATTGAGTATAAGATGTAAAAATTTATTAAACCGGGTTTAAAAAGCATTATTTAATTAAATTGAAAAAAATATTAATAATTAGGTAATATCTTTTCACTGATATTCTCGTTTGTATATTTGTTCGCTTGAATTGGAGTCGATTTTAAAGCAAATGTGACCGGATAATAATAATGTAATTAATTTTAATTTAAATGGAATTGGAAAGATTCTTCGAAGATAATTTACATATTTTTGTTCAGAAAGTGCAAGATGATCGAAAATTGATTGTAAAATAACACGATATCGATATCAAGGCAGGTGAAGGTAAACTTGAGGAAGAAACGGAGGAGATACGTCTGAAAAATAAAACAGATGGTCTGTGCCACACGAAATCTGCTCGATTACACGGGTCCTTCGTGACCTGGTTGCGGTCTTGCCCGGGGAAGATAAGATCCGCATGGTTCTCATGTAAAACACGAGTTGTCGCGCCTCACGATGGTCGCGACGGTCTCTCATGGCGTTTCTTCTTTTCGTGAGCTTCCTTTCCCGTCTACACATCCGTCTCTTTCGCACCGTAATATCTTTCCCGTGTCTGCCTTTACTTCTCTCCGCAAGAGCAAATCTTCGCCTTTGATCTTCTTCTTCCTCTGCGACGTGCCATGCAAACATAGCCGCAGGACTTGGCCAAACTGAGAACTATACAGAAGACTACTCGTCTTCGGTACTGTACAATCTCCAAGGTCGCTTCTGACGGATGTCTCGAATCGTTCGGGATGACATAAGCATTCCCCAGATTTATTTTCCACTTTAATGTGCGCGTTCTCTTTCGTACAAAGTTCTCTCTCCATACATCAATTCTACAAAGAATAATCGTTTCTTTTTGTGGCAGAATAATTTCAATATAGCCGTATAAAAAATCTGTAGATTCAACAATTTAACAAGAGACGTTCTATTAAACATATCGATATAAAAAACCGTCTGCAAACGCGACTGTAATTCATATTAATTAAACGTAGACGGCTAAATTATCATCTAAATTCGGCTATTAAAGGAAGCAAAGCTTTCGCCTTGAGACCTTCAACTAGCTCATGACCCCTCTTCCGTCATCGACGCCGAATCCGCGTCTACATCGTGGGATCTCGCGTGAGAATTTCTCGCGGACGACGATTACGCTCGCTTCGAAGACTTCGAGCAACACCGACGTGTAAATCTCGACGCGTCGTTAAAGACAACCCAAGATGGAAATTTCGAATCCGCCTGACTGTATCAGCCGAGCGTTAAGCTTCGTCGTTAATAATCCTCTAAGTGGCATTAACGGCAGCTCGTTTCCTGTTTCTGCCGCTGATTCCTCCTATCGTTCCAGAAGAGTGAACGAGACATTTACCAGCCGCAACGTGATTAGAATGCTGATAATGTGATTTTGGAATATAGCACGAATTAAGATAGGACGAGACATCCATTTTTTAAACTCGGAATAAAAATTCTGAAAAAGTTTCTCATTTGGTACATCATCGAAAAATATATAACAGGGAATTAAGATAGGATGAGACATCCATTTTTTAAACTCGGAATAAAAATTCTGAAAAAGTTTCTCATTTGGTACGTCATCGAAAAAGATATAACAAGGAATTTCCTAAATTATAGCTTAAGACTATTAATTAGCATAATTAAAATTGAAGAATGGTATATAATATTTTGTGACGTTATATAATCACTAAAAGCTAATCCCCGCTTATATCGTTTAATTTGTTCGTGATAAAATTGAAAGAATAAATCTTCTTGATATTTTATAGAGAGCCGAATATTATATCGACTTCTCTCGCAATAGATAGAATCCACCACAACTTGATATGACTTTGCACATTCCGTTCCGAAAGTCTCGGTCGAAAACTGGTCGAACGGCAAAAGTGTTTATTGGAATATCGACCAGCGCGTGCGTGTTTAATCGACGTAAGGAGGTATTTATACGTATATAATTGCCGAAGCCTCGTTAATTGCTCCATCCGGAAAGTGCATACCTTGAGGCATTAATTTGTCGGCCGTCGATGTTCGCGTGGTTATTCTCGGCCCTGGATCTTATCCGCCCCGAGACTCCAGACGAGTCTGGAAAAT